GGTACTAGTACTGGTGGCGGTAGTAGTAGTAGTAGCAGTAGCAGTAGGAGTAGGAGTAGTAGTAGTAGTAGTAGCAGTAGTACTACTACTACTACTAGTACTAGTAGCAGTGGTGGTAAGTAGTCTCGGGTAGTCATCGTAACCTCCTCCTCCTCCACCTCCTCCTTACTGCTACTACTACTACTACTACTCCTGCTGCTGCTGCTGCTGTTGCTGCTGCTGCTCCTGCTACTGCTACTCCTACTCCTACAACAACAAAAACAACAACAACAACAACAACAACAACTACTACTACTACTACTACTACTACTACTACAACTACTACAACTACTACTACTACCACCACCACCTTACTATCTTGCTATCTTACTATCTTACTACCTTAGTATTTTACTATCTTACTATCTTACTACTTTACTATCTTGCTATCATCATACTATCTTACATCATGACATGGTTACATGATTACAGTATATTACAGTATCTTACTATCTTACTATCTATCTATCTATCTATCTATCTTCTATCTTTCTATCTATCTATCTATCTGGCTGGCTGTCTGTCTGTCTGTCTGCCTGCCTGCCTGCCTATAGGAACTTCTACCACATCCTAGAAACAAAAGCTGGAGCCACGTAGTTGTTTTTTTTCGCCCTCCTCAAAAGGTGTTGTTGTCAATACCCTCGCCTAGAACAAGAACCGTGTTGTTGTTTTGACCACTCCCCAGAACAACGCCTCAAGAACACAAAAAACGGACTCAGACTAGTCCAGCTACTTGCGAAAACAACATTTCCTCAAACCTTCAACCATATCCCCAACCTTGTCCCCTTGAAGTTCCCTAAGTTGCAACATGTGAGAACTATGTTGGGCGGCTGTTTTGTGTCTACGAGCAACAACAGCAGCAACAACATCGACAAACAATAGCTCGCATCAACATAAGAAAGATGCCCAATGAAGTTGCCTGAGGGTCATTTTCTCCTGAGGGTCCAGCTGCCCAGGCGCAGGAGAACGAGGAGGCGTGTCAGACCGAGAAGGCACAGGGACGTTCGACACTACACGCTTCGAAGGGTGCTTCGGAATCCTTCTCCATGGGCCTCTGTTTGAACTCACGGGCTTGTCACCGAATGCTCGTCACCGATTTGGACGCTGGCTTCTGCGCGTTTCTCCGTCACCCCCCACAAACTGGGTGGTGCTGCCCGAGATGGCGATGGTCGATCCAGACATTCCTTGGAACTTTCCACAGTAGGGGACGGACGCCGAGGCATTTAGATCCTCAAATCTTTTTCCATATATATATATATAAGGGTCCGAATTCGCAATTATTAGGCGTAGTGTTTTTGTGTACCCTAGAAGTGCAACGACTATTTTTGGCAACACTGTAGTAAAGGAAATTCCTTGACTCGTAAAAAAAGGGTGTATGTATATATATATATATACACACCATCCCTTTGGCACCCACAAAGTGTCGCAACTGATGTGCAGTTCCCTCCCAGGCATGAGGATGGCCCTGACGGTTCGAGCGGTTCGAGCTGTCCTGGTCCGTGGCCGTCAAAAGCCTCCTGTGGTCACCATCGAAGGAGTGATCATAGAATCCCTGAAAGATATCCCTGATATCCCTGATATCCCTCGCACCGGAATGATCATCGCATTTCATTCGCCTCTCATTGCCTATCATTCGCCTCTCACACACGTTTCTCCGAGAGCCGGTCATGTTTGGCCATGAGAGTTGTGGGATTGGTCAGCACCAATTGGGGCACAACACTGTAATCTATGTAATTCATCGGGTTTTGGACCACATCCACAGTCTTTTTTGGTACCACATCGGATCTCTCTTCCAAAGAAGCTGCATACGTCTTGCATTGTGAAGAGGTGACGTTGTTTGGCTGTTCAAGATTAGAATGTGTTTGAAAACAAAAATAGAGAAGAGAATCGATCTTTCGTTAATTGACCATATCCATTTCATGCTCAATGGAGATATTTTGACATCTTGCCGAGAGCAAGCTAAGTGCTGTTCACTGAAGGTAAATCTGACAAAATTGGATTTGCTGCTGAAGTTCTCTGAACGGGGTCCAGACCCTCTCAAGGCATATTGCCTGCTCCTTTGATGGGCATCATGGTATGGGCTTGTCTAGACTCGGTTGGAACCACCTTTCTTGTCCAAAAACGACTCAAAGAACGACATTACCCCAAGATGACGTATCGAAGTCATAAACATGGAGCATGATGGAGCTAAAAGGGAAGCCACCTGCAGAACAGGAGCTTTTGATTCGGATCCATGACGTCCATGACATGCTGGCGCCGCTTTCGCGCGCCTCCGCAGCGGCGCCACCAGGGGTGACGCTGCGCGCTAGAAAAGAGCGGCAGCGTCCCAGCGGAGCGTGATGCCCCGTGGGTGGTCGCGGAGGTGTTCCGCTGAGTTCCACCGCGTTTCGTGCATCCGGCGGTTCCACGCCTCGTGACTGCGGGACGTTCCCTCCTGCGCTGACCGGCGCGTCCGCCGGCTCCGTCACTCGCTGCGCAGCGGTGAAGGACGGGTGGGGAGGATCCCGGTAGCCAGAGATGCCCCGACGTCACAGCCACCGATGGTTGGCAGAGGCGCAGATTGCCTTGCACCGGAGGAAAAAGAAAAAGAACTGGCATACCTAGATCCTCCAACTGTGCCAAATGTCAGTCTTTTGGCCGGTTTTATAGATGGAAAAGCACAAATTTGACACCGTTGGAAGATCCAGGTATGTATGATATGTTTGGTACGCTGTCTGATGGTCTGCACTTCAGAGTTCGAGAAGAGTTGCCAACTCGCCGTGAAACTCCGGGCGAATCCTCCGCTTCAAAAGGTTTCTTCCCGGTCTCTCCAGATGTTCGTGGGCTTGAAGAATTTGAAAGGAAGAAGATGTGACACCTGTTGTCTTGGCTTTGCCTTACTCGATTTTCAGCCACAACAGTCAAAGCCATAGTGTGGTTTCTGATGCTTGGCCTGCACGTGGTAGCCGCAGAAGTGCGGCATACAACCCAAGTCTAAGCTGATGACTGTTCGAAAGTCTGGAGGAGCTTGGTCGAACAGCATAATCATGTGCAATCTACATAGGGGCTCCTAAGATTCCCGGAGTAGATTAATAGTAACCAACAATCTGTTTGTGAAATTTACTGCAAGAATCTTGGGGATCACTCTGTGACCTACCAGTATGTTCCTCTGGACAGTCAATGAGGCTGAGGCATATTCGGGTGTGTATTAAAATAGTGAGACCTCCGAAAGACACCCGGGAAGAAGGAAAATAGACCAGTCTACGCATTGCTTGTGAGGTCCCCCTATTAAAACATATTAAAACACACATCCATTCACTTGATCAAATAGAGAGGCTTTCAGTAGATCGCTTGACCACGCTATTTGCCAAGATTAAGACGAGGACCTGCAGGGTTGGGCGATGCATAGGTCCATGTTAGCCCGGATCGTCGTGTGGCTCGAACAGCCGATGTCGCCCGCCCCAGCCGCTCTCCGTGGGTTTTCGGCTCGCGAGCCACGGAACCAACGGCACTGGGGCCGACGTCATCGTCCGGTCTTTTCCTTCAGCGGGATGTCACGGAGGGGACATGCCCGAGGAGTGGCGAGCGCACGCGGATCCCGCGTCGGGTCTGAAAGGAGGGGCGACTTGGAGGGATGGGGGACAGCGAACTCCAGGTCGCTCTGAGGGATGGGGATGCTTTCCCGAGCCTTGAGGATGCTTCCCCAGTGAAGACTTTTCGGAGACGAACGAGCGAAGGCATAGGATCATAGCCTGTGCTAATTCGTTCCGAGAACGGAGCCAACCGTTCCGTTTCGCGCTGCGAGCGAAGCGAATTCTCTGAAGAATCTCCCCGGTGCCATTCGTTTCTTCTGTTTTTATTTTTTCAGTTGATAGAGAGGAACACTGAACTGTTTAGTTTGAGGTTCGTTCCTTCTGGTGGTTGGGCATTTGTAGTAGCATCTTTACCAACTTCTAGAGATCTAATCTTTTGCCAAGCATCCTGTAGTAGAAACAAATTCATTTCATGAAAGGGTCCGGTTCGAGACATCTGGAGATGCAGGAGCAGTCGTGCTGGTGGCCATTGGAGCGCTTACTCTAGGCAGGTGGCGAATGCACGTGACCAACTGTGAGGGGGCGAATGTTGGATGGCCCGAGAGGTCTGTTGGGGATGGATGGAACTGGAGGAGGGAGACCTGCGAAGCATAGAAGAATGTGGGCTAACAGGTGCAGTAAAACCTCTTCTTTTCGTCCACACCAACTGCATCTGATGGCCAGAAGCAGTGGAATGTGGGCTAACAGGATGGCCATCCGGAAGCTATTGATGTAGGGGGATGATGATGATGATGATGATGATGATGATGATGATGATGATGATGA